CACGATGTATACCTTGACATATACAAATCAAATAAAGAAATGATGTTTACCTACAAAAAAAAAAAAAAAAAAAAAAACTAAAGAATTATTTTTTTATACTTTGAATTAAAGATGGGTTCTTAAATTAAAGGCAAGAACATAATTAAAATATTTCTTACTATTAAAAAAGTATTTTTTTTAAATATAAGATCAAAAAAAAACTATTTACAAAGGTTTTTTACAATTTAGGCCATTTAATTCAAGTGTTTTTTGAATTATGTCCCTATTAAAATAATAAATAAATAATTATGTTCTTTTAAAAGAAATATAATTGATCTATAAAATTTTATATGTTAAATAATTTAGGAATCATATTTACTTTGAATAATTATCAAAAAAATTTCTTATCTATAAAAAAAAAAGTAAAATTACTTATACTATTATTTTAATAATAAAAAATATTTTTCTATTTTTTTTGCAAATAGTTATTTAGAACTAGCTAACTTGAATTTTAAGTTACAATTATTTAAATTTGTTGCACTATTCAAAACTATATAGATGTTTTGGGAATTATTGAGAAAATAGTATATAGATAATATATATAAAAATAATAAATTATAATAGATTATAATAAAATATAATGGAATCTAATTGTATTATATAGCAATACTAAAATTTTTATACAGATGGATGGCAGAAAATTGGGAAGCCTATTAATTAATTAATTTATTTATTTATTTTATCATAAAGAAGTATTAGATGTAAAGCTTTATTGGATATAAATAATATTTGAATTACATCAAATATCTTTACAAAGTAAATCTGCAAATTAATATTAATTTATTTACAATATTAATTATTACTATCTTTAGCATACTTAATGTATTTTAGATTAGTTCTAGTATTGGATAGTTTATATTTTTCCAGAGCTAATATGTGAGTCTGCCAAGTTACATAAAGGTGTTACAACCACAATTCTTATATTGGTTCCAAACTCATAACTTGGACTGGCACTTGTTAATATATAGAACACTATATATGAAACAAGAAATAAGAAATAGGAATAATATGTTTTGAGAAAGAAAATAATATTGTTAATATTATAAGTGACTGGTAAGAAATACTGATGGTGATAGAAATAAATAACTTTAATTATTAAGACAATAGTACTGTTAATAATTAAGAACTAAATAAAACATGTAAAAAGCCTATTATTTTTATATAAATGTGATGAAATTATTGTTACTTGAATTGAAAAAATTAATAGGATTAGATAAATTATTAGAAAAATTGTAGGGGCATTATAATGTGAAGTCATTGTTGTTATTGGAATTGTTATTGTTATAGTTAGGTAAATTATTAAGATAGTGTAACATAGAATTGATGCTGTTGTTATTTGAAATTAGTTTATTGACAATTTGTAATTAGTTGTTGAAAAAATAATAATTATTTGGAGGGTGAAGCTGATTTTGGTTTTTGTATTTGAAAAAATTTTTATATATAATAAATTGATACAATATTATATGTCAAATGAGAAATAGTTGGGAAAGTTAAAGTTAAGTTAAAACAAGCAAGAAACACAGAAAATTTGCTTGAATGTGACTTGAAAAGTGGATTTATAATATTGAAATGTGGTGATAAGACAGTAGTAATAGAGTATTGATAATAAAAGATAAAAACAAACAGGTTTGTAAAGGAGAACTGCCATGGACCTTTCTTCATGCAAACAAAAAACAAGCAAGATTTCTAAACTTGCTAAGCCTTTGCTCAGAGATCACATCCAATGCAACAATGGTCCTTAAAGTCTTTATGTCCTTAATCTTATGGCATAGATGGCATGTTAAGAAAGTGATAAGTGCTTCTTCAAAGGAAATTACCATAAAAAGAAATTTTCCAAGAATCAGTGATGAACGGGTGGGTGTTTTTTTTATATCCCTATTAATTTTTTTATAATACAATCTTTTATTTTATATGATTATGTAATTGTACTTTCTAAAAACTCTCTTAAGAAATCGACCTAGTTACTAAAATGTAATTTTATGATATAATACAGGAAAAAATTCATAACTTTTTTTTCGCAATAGAACAGTTTCTGTAAAAAAATTTTAAAAGATAAAGTAATTAATGTTGGTATGAAAAAAAAAATTATTTATTAGAAAAAATGGTAACTTTCATATAGCCCAGAAATTTATATTTTACTATGAAAAATTGAGGTTAGATTGCGGAATTCTAAAATTGATTGATTTAATCACATGACTTTATTATGTATTACGTATATATGATTACAATAAAACGCGTATCGTACACGATATATTTTGATCCACTGTCGTCTGGACAATACTGTAACAGATAAGAAATGTCTATCACTCTAGTATGTCTCGTCAAAGGAAACTCAATTGCAAACGCCTTCGCTATTGATGTTGAAAGCAGCAAGTTGGTTAGTCACCTCAAAAAAGTTATCAAGGAGAAACGGAATGACTTCGCTTATGTTGACGCCGACGAACTCAAGTTATGGAAGGTCGACATTCCCCTCAAAGAAGAAAACGATAAATTAATCGCCATCAATACAAAAATAAACATTAATATACAGAACGAGCTTGGAGGTGTAGAGCTAACTCCGACTTCGAAGATTAGCAAGCACTTCTCTTCCCAACCAGTCGACGAGCACATTAATATCATAGTACAGCATCCGGTTGAAACGAAAGAGATCCATTGTACTGGAGGCAAAGGTTGGTATTACAATTGTTGATAGAAAAACTATACATCGCGATTTTTGATCAATTTTACAAGGTCTAAACGGCTTATAACTTTTCATATAGCCAAGAAGTCTACCAAATACCAGCTCTCTGTGCCTCCTGTCGAAGTCGAAAGTTGCGGAAACACCAAAACTAAAAGCCTGCCGTGCTATCTTGATAGACTTCCTATCCATGCTAAATACTCATGTATGGAGGAGGACTGGGTAATAGAAGATGTAATCTTAAGCAACAATTTAAAGGGAACTGGGTTTGTCTCGAAATATTTTTATCAATAAATGTTACTTAATGGATTGATTAATACATTATTCATTGTTTGTTTAGTATAATTAGACGTGGCCACTTCAACTTTTCGGATACGGTGTGTACATCGCAGATAAGCGATGAGCACTGGAAAAATGTCTTGACCCCATTTTTGACACGGCACAAGTTGAAAAAAGCGCTTTCCACGGAGGATGACGAAAAAAAGCTGGTGGAAATGTTCGGAGAGGAAAATAAACAGAAGCTCTTAGAGCAAGGAAACCTAAAATTGATAGTCAGCTTGTGTGATACCGAAGAGGACACCATAAAGGTCCTTGAAATAGTGAAGCGAATAAGATTAGCTTTATATCTTAAAGAATTTTCCGATTGTCGGACTCTAAATTCACTAGAGACGAAATGGACAACATCTATTCCTTCTGACATTCTAGACAAGCGGTTGCGAGACATTTGTTGGGCATCTGAGCTTATAAAATGGGTGTAGGTGTTTATCATTTCCATCCTTTCATTTTTTGCTATTTCTCATAATGGTTTTCTTATAGGATCATGCAATGGCAAGATGGTACCTTCCTTAAGGAAACGAAGGAACCATGGGTGAAAACACAGCTAACGTCACAACTTCTTGGACCAGTGATTGCAGTAAAACATGATGAAACTGAGTATGACGTAGAAAAGATTGTTGCTAATAATAAGAAATTATTATCTCCAAAAATAAAAGCAAAGATCCGTATAGATGGGCTTGACTATGCTAAAGAATTTGAAAATGTCTGGGTGGAGTTGAAGGGTACTCAGCATGAATCTGAAAACAGCAACAACCTTGAGGATATAGATGTAATGCTCAAAGGCTTCTCGGTAATGTCTGCAACGCAAGCTCTAACAATGCCGGAAGAAGCAAAAAAGAAGATTGGCGAATTAGAATTCTTTGGTATAAGAGGGATTGGAAATCACTTTCAATTCTGGGGTTGTCGTCAAACTTCCAGATACCTTATGTGCTCGTATCTGTTGGGTGAGTTTTACTTACCATTATTTGAGGGAAGAGAGGGTAGTGGCTTACAGGAACTGTTGCATGCGATAAGTGTTGTTTACTCATTCAAAGTAAGTATTTGTTTTATTTTCAAAGAGGTTTTCGAGCTTTATTAACAATACTTTCATTACTTAATAATTTACAGACAAGAGTGGAAGTCAGTAAATTGGCATTTCATCGGATTATGTCTTCGGCAATTTATGAGAGAAATTTTAATGCTGACTCACCAATCCAGACAAAAAGAGTTTAGACACGACAGGTTCCCTTACATAATAGGCAAGTTTTCCCGTATAATCTCAATAAAGTCGTTATTGATAATCAAGATTGTGCAGGTGTTAATAAAATGACTATATATTCTGAAATTTTAAAGTGATGAATAAGTCTGGTAGCTCTGATGTGTTATCGAGAAGGACTGTCATTTTGAGTAGGTAGTGAACCAGATGGATTTGAGATGGTTTATGTTTTATCTTTTGATGCATGGTTAAGTTGGACAGGAGCAGGTGTGGATTTTTTGTTTATTAGTAGGAGCGGTTTTCCTTAATAAGTGTCGTAGCAGGAGTATTGTGATAAATTTCAATAAAGTTGACAGTAATTTTCTAAGTTCAAATTAATTCTTTTAAAATTAAAAAGAAATATTGCCAATTATTAAATCAGATGAAAAAGGAGTGGAAGTGAACCAAGAGGTAGAGCCTGGCATTATGTAGCTTTTATACATGTATAGTTCTTTTTATGATTTTTGCTTTTAAAAAATTTTCAGAAATTCAGAAAAATATTTCAAAAATAATTTAAAGATCTCCAGAGTAAACATAATACAATTTATCTAAAAAGTCTAACCAAATTTTTATTTAATATTTTTATTTATAATTAAATAAAATAAAATAAAAATTTAAATATAGTATATTAATAAGAATTTAAAAAACAAAATTATTATTAGATTTTATTTAAAACTTATTAAAATTTATTATCAAAATAAAAAATTTTAAAATATATTGGTTTAATTAAACTATAATAAATAAATAAATAAATTATTTGTAGACCTATAGGTTTATAGTACAGTGTATACATGTTGCGTAAATTATTTTGCTGTTGACTCAATTCTCAAAATCCTCAAAAATAATTGCGTCATGACTCAATTATTTATATGT